ATAAACAAGGAACAGGGAATTGAAAATGGAAGAACTCAAAGAATTGGGAGAGAAAGAAGTGATATTTTTATGGATTTGTTGAGGAGAAAAGGAGGGAAAGTGAATGTTTTTGAAACATTCCTCCAAACTAATTCTACTAGTATCTGTTTTGGTGGTGATATTTTGAGGGAAGAAAAGAGAAAAAATGTAGATCATGTTATTATTTTTAGTGGCGTGTTTCACTAGTAGATACTCCGTAAAATAATGCTCAAGCAAATTGTAGTACTCGGAGATGTATTCAAAGAATTCAAATGGACTTGTTGGCAAGTTTGAATAGTCTTAACAGTTGCCTCATTTTGCCATTTTGCCTTTTACGACAGTCATTAATTATAAACCTTGTGGCTTCACAATGATATGATGAGTTAATTTGTAGTGGATTAGAGTGTGAAGACTTTGGTGCCATTGACATATTTTATGACTTCTATTTACAATATTTGATCAACTTACAAATATTTCTGAAACATTTGAAAATCAGTTTTGTGATACCCATTGATGTTAATTAACTTACACTTCAAGTCCTCCCAAATTAGCATATTCTAGGGAGCGTTTGCAACAACTTCTGCTTAAAAAAAGCACTTTTGGAGTGATTTGGAAAAAGTGATTAGTAGTAAAAGTTGATTATGTTTGAGAAAAAAGTGATTTTGAAAAGTAAAAGTTGGTAGTGTTTGGTAAAATAAGTGCTTTTTGTGTAATAGAAAAGGAAAAATCACTTTTCACACGAAAGCCGAGAAAAGTAAAAATGGGTAATGTTTGGTAAATAAGTGATTTTTTAAGCCAAAAGTCGAGAATTGCTTTTTTTAAGCTGTTACAAACCAACCCTAGTCTAACTCAGCTTTCAAAACCTCTTTGCAATGTGGTTTCACACTTGCACTGTGCACATCTACACTCTCCATGTAATGCAATATTGTTCACCCGTCCAATTGTTATACAGAGTAACATTTTCACTTAAGGTCCAATTTATTTATAAAAAATATATATTGAAAATGATTTGTTAGAATTTTTGAAATTTTACACACACAATATTGGTACCATATAAAAGATTAATGAAAAAGTTATAACAATTACAAAAAATATTTATCATGCCACATGATAGACAATCAGACAGGCCGTCGCTTGTTTGCAACACTTTCTCATGTTCTGTTTTTCCCGATACAACTTATCCTTTCACGCATTCGATGATTACAACCATTTCAGTATAATGTCGAAAATATTTCATAGCTCTATACTCATAAATTTTCAGGGCTTCTAGTGTTCTAACATTCAGAGTGACCCTTATTCGCATAACCAGTCTTTGTTTTCCTCCAGAAGAGCTCTCATCCAGTTGCACAAAAGAGCCTATACTGTTGACTATGCAGCGAGCTGTCATGTAGCTAAGTGGTAAGTCATGTACCTGGACCCAGAAGTCTGTGTGATCAAGAGCAACCTCTAGCGGTTTATCAGTGCGCTCCAGTCGTCTAATCACTACCAGGTTCTATTCAAAAGACCACGGTCCTTCATCCACAACTCTGTTCAGATCTCCCTCATGATAGAATTGTAAGAGAAATTTGGAATCCTCAATCTCATCAATCGAGACCCCTTTCACGGGTCTCCATACCATAGTCATAGTCTGACAGAAGGAAACAGCACGAACAGGTTTATCAGAAACCACTCTGGTCACTGCCACTAAATTATAGCCTTCTGTTGCGCCATTCTCATTCTCAATCGGGTCAGCCGCAATCACGAGCCCCCTATTTTCTTCCTCAACAATGGATAACATCTTGACATTCTTTGAAATCATATCCATTTCAAACAAGTAAAGCAAAGCCAAACAACTAACTGCCAATCGGCAAAGAAACAATAACGACACACAAACACAATCCCCTGTAGTCATAAGAGCAAAGGGAATCCCTGCCAATCGAAACACACAAACCAGAGCACCGAACCGGAGTACCAAAACTCGGCCAAATTGGCCGGACCAAAAAACCTCGGAACAAAGACGTCCGGAGAAAAGGAGCAGAGCAAAAACTAACTGAGAGAGAAAGCCTAACGTGAGTAGCGACCGGTACTCTCCTTGGAGTTTCCGCCTATCATCGAACTTCGGTTCCCTCTTGCGCCGCCACGGTCATCGAACTTTCGGTAAAGTTATACATTTAATACTCCGTAGTTCATCTAAAAAGTTCATCGGTTCATCCTTTTTGATTTTTTTAATCAATGCCTTGCTTATTTAAAATAAAACTAAGTTTTAATATTTCCTAAATATTGTGTAACATGTTTCTAAAAAATAACGTAACTATATTTGAAATATACTCAAATTCTTAATATAATCAGGATTGCACTTTCTAACTATTATCAAACAACTGCTCTATAAATATTTGGAACCCATTATCAATGCTCTCATAATTTTTTTACAATCTTCTAACACAATGGAGGATGAACCTGGAAATTATCTAAAAAATAGTATTCTTGATTTTCAGAGTTATGAGGTACTCATCTGCCCCACTATCTATATCTTAGTTCTTTTTTTATGTGTTTCATGAAGTTTGCCGTATATTTAATATTTTGATGATCATATGTGCGCGCACGTATATATACACATATACTTTTTCATTCATCTTTATTGGATAATGTTGTATTTTTCTATTATCATCTAATTAACTACGATATGACAATATCTAGGATGTTTTTAATTGAAATGTTTTGGGGGTGATTTGGAAAAATATCGAAAAGGCAACAAGTACTGCAAAATAACGGAAGTTTTTTATGTTTGTCCAGAAAAACGTAAATCGGAAAAAGGGAGTCCAAATAATAGGTCAACTTTAGAACAAAAAATAATAAAAACCCAATAGGAAGTAGCCTTTTCAAACACAATTTTTTCAAACTTTTTAAATGTTATACATAGAGAAGCTAAAGACATGTAGTTAGAGCCTTGTTATTATTTTTTATCTAGAATTTACTAAAACTATTTTCTTTGTAATCTAGTTGTTACAAAAAAAATGTATGAAATAGATTTGTAATATGAATGATATCCAGAATGTTTTTAATTGAACTGATTTTGAACTCCATCAGCACCATGCTGGTTCCACATTACGGTCATATATGTTACTGCCTCCGTATCTCATATATCTTTCCACTTCCAAAGTTGGTGAGATTAAGAATAGTGAAAAGAGATTTAAATTATTGAGGGTATGATGGGAAGATAATGAAATAGTGTGCTGGATTGAAGGATAAATCCCAAAAAAGTAGTTGTAATAGTGTATTATTTTTAAAATTATTAAGTGTATGGTGGGAAGATTTAGAAATGGGAAGATATGAATGTTACGGCTAAAAAAAGGAAAGTGGGAAGATATTAGTGTCACGGAGGCAGTACATGACTAGACTTATGATGTGAATGATATTTAGGATGTTTTTAATTGAACTCATTTTGATCCAGATAGATTCAAACAAATAGGATCAAATCTTACCAGACTAGATTAAAATAATACTACTTCTGTCCTTTTTATATTGGGACAGAAGGGGGTTGCACGATTATTAAGAAAAGTGATTTTGTGTGGTTGATATTAAGTGATGAAGTAAGAATAAAGTAAAAATGATTTACCAAATAGGGTATGGGACAATTTTAGTGGAATTTTTGGAAAATGTAAAATGGGACAATATAAGGGAGACGGAGGGAGTAGTAAATATACATTTATGTTCACGCGACATGACCATATTTTTTTAAAAGATTTACATATATAATATTGATGTGATATGAAAGATCATAGAGATATTTAATTTGGTATAATTGTTATAAAAATTGAAGCAAAAATGAAAAGGCTATGACATTTAAAAAAAAAAGAATTACTTGCCACATGGCAGCAATTTATTGGATGTATATTAAATGTGAAATTGATATGGGCAAGATATTGGATTTGTCCGCATGGAGCTAAGCGCGAAGTGAGGAGGTGCACATAGCAATTCTAATTACCCTTTTAATTATTGTTAATTTTAATTAATAATTAAGAAGGCCAAATTTGTCCGTCCGTGGTTACATAAAGCAATTTTGGGGGTGCGCTAAGCAACACCCACTAAAAGAAAGTTGTGTTTTAGTTATATGCGGACTCTGGCGACGGCAGCGTCCGCAGATGACTCCTAGAAAAAACCTGACAACGGCAGCAGCCGATGACTGATGGTTTGACAGAAAGCGATGTTCAACGATCTGGACAATCTGGGCTAGCAGCTGAGCAACTCTAACCCTATAAGGATACTTTGTCCAATCACAAATAAAAATCTTATTTAAGAAACTTTAAACTCCCTCAAATACTTTATTTGAAGTATTCTCGTTGACTTTAAACATCTAAAAGACTAAAGGTCAATTTCAAATAGCGCCCTGCATGGCTGCATGACAAAAAATTTAGGAGTCCGCTGCTGCTTTGGCTGATTCTGCTGAAACTTATGAACTTCATAAATTTCAGTATAATCAGTCAAAACAGTCAATTTTTGTGTTACCAAACGGGCTCATAATTTTTTCTTTATTTTATTAATAAGATATATTTTAAAAATAATTTTTTCTTAAATCTGCAGAATCAGCCAATGCAGCCACTTCAACCAAAACTTCATAAGTTTCAGCAGAATCAGCTAAAGCAGCCGATTTTCGTGCTACCAAACGGGCTCTAGATTTCATATAACTTTCAAATTAAACAAAGTCATCTACGATATCTACTTTTAAAACTAAAAAGAATCATGATCATAATTATAAATCATAATTATTGATCGTTGTTTTTCCTACTTAGCTACTCGGGGAACAAATATAATAATAGTTCAAGGAGAAAATTTGCAGTAATACTCCTGAAATATGTATAAAAAGATTGTTTAAAATATGTGATCTTAAAATATTAGACACTTCTTTATCACGAATATAAAATCTTATTTGTAAATTGTAATCTATCCGGAACAATTATTAATGTCAATGACATGCTGATAGAATCTCTATCGTTCCCGAACCAAATGGTTGCACTTGCACCTAGATTTATTCTAAAATTATACGTACGTAAAATATTCTTGCTTACAATCATCATTGGTTCATCATAATGAATTTTGTACATAATGAATTTGCTCAATATACATGTAAATAGTTGTTGATTACAAGAGCAATATAATACTCAAAGACAAATGTCTTCCACGTATTGTGTTGATTATTTACCATAAAAACATTCATTACATGTTAGCCAGCCTCAAAATCTTTAGGAAATAAGGCCTGGATGTTGTCGTTACATAGAATATCCATTGTAACTGTCTTACTGGTCCAAGCTTTTACTATTATTTTTGCTTGAGGTGATAGTACTTGTCGAGCAGCATCTCAGTATATTCTCCAAACGTCAGAGATCCATTGGAGGAGGCAATCAGCTGCAATAAGAATGAATAATAATATAAAATATTTGCCAATATTTTTTTAAATAAATAAATTCAAAGAAAATACGTTTTAATCTTGGGTCTCTGGTCTTTCCTGCATAGGAGAGATGGGAAATGAAGGGTGTGAAGATATGTATTGCTAAAGTAAAGAACATTGTGATATTGGTAAGTTAATTGATTATATAATTTACCTTCCTGCCGGGAAAAAAAGAGCTGTATAAGAATCTAATGCCAAATACTCACCTCCTTGTGAATATGTACACCATCTGGGAAGTTAAGCTTTTCATCCCTGAAGTTATTGAATTGTCACAACCAAACCATAACAAACCGTGGGTGGGTGGGGTGGGGGGGTTAGTGATGTAATATATGAAACTAGCCATGCCATGGATGCTTATCATTTCAAATAATCACATTACATAATTTGAACAATGCCTTTTATTGTTTTCTTAGATATCCTAATGATTCAAAAAGCTTCTATATATCCTTCAGATCATCAGTAGCTTTGATCCATAAAAAGATTGTTGTCCATATCAAGAATACTCATCACTGCAAATGAGTCTTTCTTGAATGGTGCTCTGACTAGAAGTACTTTGATTTTGATTCTTTAATTTAAGAGAAATGCTATAGGTACCCCATTCTCACCCCGGCCTAATGCGTGGCCACAAATGGGGCAACACATTTACGTCAGCATGTAAAAAGAGAAACTGCTTTCTCACTTAGAAGAGCAATTTTGTGCCTATTGAAAAAAGAACCTTTCTGTTTCTTTTATAAAGAAAAAAATTACCATCTGGTCCATCTGTACGTAATACTGCTTAGATAATAAGGCATTTTCTAATGAAGCACTTAAAGTTAAGCATCTTAAACGATCACATAAACTTCATGGCAAGTGTATGTGATTAATAGATCCTGATGATTAACAGCCAAAAACCAAGATCTCGAGGAAAGGCAACACAAAAATTGTAAGCAACCAGTTTAATATTGGCAACATGTACCAGTCTGGCTGCATGAACAATGCAAATGTGGAGCGATCAACACCAGATGCTTCCTCCCCTTTTGGTGCCTGTGGAGACGTGCACATCCATTTCATATGCTGAATAAGGATGTTTTCTTTTGGACTGAAATTTGCTGGTTTGATTTGGTCTGGTCCGGCCTAGTAAATGTCTAGTTTGGTCTCGTAAATGTCCAAGTCTGATATGGTTTGGTTTGTTTAAGTCTGGTCTGATATGGTTTGGGACTGAAAACAGACCAAATGAAAACATCCTAAGTTGGCACTAACAGAACTAGATTCAACATAGTTGCATCCAAAGAAAATATTTCCACTTTTGGTCTCAGAACGTCTGGTACTTAATTATGGATTTATTGCCACTTTTGGTCCTGATTACTTATGAGGCTAAAAAGTACACACAAAGTGTACACGGCCGGGTAAGTGAATGGAAGGACCTAAAGTGTCAAGAAATTCAGTCATGCAAAAGTAGAAAAAATGAAAGTCAGGAACCAAAAGTGGGATATGTCCAACCCAAAATACTACTCCGTAATACAAGGTTAGACTATGTCATACTAGGGTTTCAAAGTTTAGCCGAGTAAGGGAGTGAGGGAGGGGTTGCATGTAAGAATATCTGAATATGTGATTCCACAGCAATAAGCATGAGAAGCAGAGATAAACTTCACTTCATCTTGCAGTTTAGACACAAATCCTTTTCCCCGTACAATTTTTTTTTCGTACAAAATAAATAATGCAAGTTAGCACCAACAGGAAACAGTGATAAATACCCGGACACAATGTGGTGTTGCACAGAGCAGACCTCTTGACAATATCTCAGTTGTCTCACCAATTTGGTATGCTATTTCTTCTTCACCATATTTCACCTAATAAAGTTTAATAAATGAAGACATGTAGATCTATCCCTGTAAGAATTATAATATGTATAAATCAATTAAGGATTAATCTAGTTCAGAACTAGAGTGCAAATGCTTTTTTCAAAATTAATTACGACTAATAGTTTCCTAAAGAATTGTGATATACATGTGGAATGACAATAAAATTCTGCTTATGGATAAAACTCGTGATGCACATTTCATTTAATTTCAATTTTCCGATATATTTATGATTAATTGAATCCATTCTAATGGATATTTTCTTGCTCCTATTATTTTTTAAGGAACCGTGCAACTAGCCAACTATGATTCAAATTTCCATACCAAGTTTGTATGGTAAGGTGTTACTTTAATGAACTTTTCATGAGCTCATAGAGATATTATTTCATACACGATATCAGGCCTATATCGTGTTTTGGGTTTTTTAACATCAGAAAACCAATAAGGTATGACCACAACACCAAAATGAGCATTGCATTTTGGAAGAACCAATGCAAGGATGCACATGCGTAAGCGTAAAACCGCTTCATTTTTTATATCATGACTGTTGACTGACAATTACAAGAAAATATACTTTAACTACTTGGCCGGTACGCGTTTTTATATAAAGGCCAGCAGCATTATCAGAGCAAGGTATTTGTACAGCATCTCTCATAAATATGGCAGATGTAAGACCTACATGTTGAATTCAAGAAGTAATTAGGGAAAGATTTATGAAACAGAAAAAGGAAAAGCAACAAACATACATTATTCAGAGTTTACAAAAATATTCGACTCTGGTGCCATGACGGTTTGGTCATTTTCACGAATCCATATAAATGGGAGAATCTGAACATCAATTTAAGTGTAAATTCTTTATACTGTCATCTGTGTTTACAAGTTAAAGGAACCTCTAATATCTGAAATTCACTCTCTTTTACTACAAACTGGCTTCACAGTTAGGTTGCATATATTTCTCTTCAGTTTTTCTCTGCTTACAAACAAGTGTGAATATAATATTCTGTTAATGTAGGCAAAAAATATGTTAATGTAGGCAATTCTAGTTTCTAATTGACTAATTCTTCACATGGCTTTCATAATTATGAGCTCATAGAGATATTATTTCATACATATTCTTGAAAGTGAAAGCCCAGTTTCAGTTGTAAACTAACATACATAAATTGAGAAGTAAAATCAATTAGACAGCTAATTCGTAAGCTGAACATATAGAAGGCTGAACAGAAAAGACTTACAAGTCAAAAAATGAAACTGAGGAATTCTAGAAATTAGGTACCTGTCAGTGAACCATGATCAGTATGCCAACCACACCAAGATGACATTGACTCATCATCTTGGGAACAGCTACAGCAAAAAGTAACAAAAAAATGAGTACAAGATACATCACATACAGGTATTTTCTTCTGAAAAAGAAATAAGGAAACTAGTGAACTAGATTTTTTCCCCTAGGAATTTAGAGGACCAACTAAAAAGGAAGCACCACTCCGCAAGGTAAAAACAAAAGTGTAAATAATATGCTTCAGTGTAAAGAGTGAAACCTCGACACGTCAATTACCATCCACTTCTACTCATGTGTGGTGATATGCAGTGTTAACATATCTCCTATACTTTGATATTTATATGTTCTTTTTCTAGCAATTTGTATATCGACAGAGGGAAGCTGATAGACCATTTGTCAGTTTCAGATATGCCAAAAAAATACATAAAGGCATATCAGTAAATATCTCAGATATTATGAAACATGAGAGGGATCAGTGTATTATAATTTATTATTGGGATATCAGTTAGTATCCAATCTGATGCTAAGATTGGTTAGTGTTTAGCACAAGTTTGATGAAGTCCAAGATACATCAAGTAAAAATATTTTGAAAACGTCCAAACATTTAGCAAATATGTTAACCGAAAAAAAGAGCAACAATAATAATTAATAATTGTAAGCAAAATGGAAATAACATTATAGAAATAATATCTTTGTGTGTAGTCAATAAAGTTGTACTCCGTATCAAGTAATTTCCAGAAATATGGTATAACTTTCATACTTTTATTTAATTTTTTACTGATAACGATATCTATATACCGATAGTATTTATTATTGTTTCCAAAAGACCAAAATTTCGACATTTCAACCAATACCGATATTTTCAACCTTTGCAATAGGATAAGGAACAAAGGTTGCAATTCCAAATCCTTTTAGCAGAGCTTTCCCAATTAATGGTATTAATGGAACTTGTGTGAGATGATCTGAGTGCTTAACTAGTGTAGAAAAGATTTTCAAAAAAAAACTAGTGCAGAAAAGAGAGAACAAAACTTAAAATGGATTACCTTTGCTGGGAAGGAAAATAGTAGAGCAGTCTGCCTTTATGACATCTAGATCGAAGTAGTATCTTTTCAAGGCCATCATTTTCATTTGCTGTTATCTTGTGGGATACTGCACAAAGTTTTCAGTTTAAGTAAATGGAACACAAAAATCCGTTCAAAATGAAATAAGACTTGGCACCTATGCCATTCTGATATGTTATTAGCAGCCACTCAGCAGTCATTGGTTACTTTTCGTTGCAAAAAAAGTAAAAAAATGTCAAAAAGATAAAACAAACTTATAGAGCAATGACACAAACGGACAATGGGAGACCCCATTCTGTGCGCGTAAATGGGAGAAGTGGAACACTCAAGGAAAGCCTGATTAGGAGTTGCTCAAATACTTGTAGCATGTATGAATATTTCACATGACAATCTCTCTACTCTGAGCAATTGGAAATTTTAGTTTAAAAAACATTGTATGTGCAACATGAAAACTAGGAAATCGTCATCATTTTAATATATGCTAATAAATCTTAAATACATTTTGAATAGCAGACCGTTCAATCCATACAGTGTACTGGCACAAAGGATTTATTAAGGATTTGTTTGGAATTTGAAGTTCCAACATTCTTCAATGATGGTGCCATTAACTGGACCATAATGACAGCCCTACTTAAAAATTAAACAGGGACCCATCTAGTATTACGTTCGGTCCAAACGGCCACATTGCCATGCAAGTACTGGCCCATGATATCCATTATATTCTTACAGTGTAAAACATAGCCCCCATATTTACACATACAGCTCATCACCAAGCAAGAGAAGGGGAAAAAGGAAGGGGGAAATGTTCTCACTAATACACACAATAGGGGAAAGAGGAGTAATGTGTGCATATTAAGAACTTACCGTATTGATCACAATGGTGAGCCAACAACAGTCCAACATCAAGAATCATCTTACCAAGAGCTTTAAAAGCTGCAAAGGGAAAATAAACATTCAGCAGCCACTACGTCTAACTGAAGCATATTAACTGGGAAAAAATTGGTATGTTAGTAATGTTAGTATGGGATGGTGTGGTACTGGTACTGATACAAACACTACATCAAATTATGAAAACAAACAAAAACTACATAGAAGTAGCTAAGAACTTGCCTAAAAAAGTTCTGAATGCCTATTCCACAATGTTCAGGTTCAAAAATCAACAGGCAGAAGACCTATTGTAGATTTGTAAGTTTTACACTTTAACTGCTTCAATACTAAAATTGTCAAACAAAAGGATTTTATGATGCATATGAAAATATAAACTATTTAGGTCATGATGTTCCTGCCAATGACATCAAAAGAAGTACAGGTACTGATTACAGTCCAATATTAAGAAACTTTGTATTGTGAAATACACTACAAAAGTTCAATGCCGCAACTCAAATGTTGAATTCATATTTAAAATATACCAATCTCAAGTTCTGGAAGAGTGGTATGTGGCCATATATTTGGTCTGCAATAGGATGGATATCTAGACAGAGAAGAAGAAAATATTTACGAAAAGAAAAAAATTATAACTTTTAGAAATATCAAAGTATGGAATACATAACTGCAGCAACTCAACGATGACAAGCTAGGATTTCACAGAATTGTTTCATAGAAATTTATCAGAAAGATGAAAATGAGACTATAATACGGTGAATATGGATTTGCTAAACGGTAAAGAAAAAGGTGTTAACCGTTCCATAAGGGATCGCTCAGTTGTTGGCACATCCAATATTGGATTTGCATAGAAGGATCCTTTCATTGTATCTGCATAGTAAACATGAACAAGCAGCAATACAGTTTAATAGACAATTTCACTGAAAAAATAGTAGAACACCATACATGATGTGTGTTAAGCAGGCAACACTGTAGCAAAGAGCAGGTTAGAGTGTTGTTGAACATAACCTGAGATGCATATAAATTTAGAGAAATCCTCTATAACACCATGCATGTGTTTAACTTTTCAAAAGTAGTTATATGACTACAGATAGAAACAACTATCAATATAGAAGTGATCAAATGCTCTCTATTTGTTGACATGTTAGTCCTAGTTCATTCAAATTCTAAGACAGCAGATTACACTGGAGGTTCTTTGATCTCATCTCAAAATACCTAAAGTGTGAAAAACTATAACCCCCACATAATGATACAAGCAAACCATATCACATGAATTCTCTCATCTTCTTAGCCATAAATTACAATAAAAACCATATCTACCTGGTTTTCCAGATTCAAGCTTCTCTTTTCCATGACTCCATCCAAAGTTGTACCTGATATTGGTCCCAAGCTCATAAAAATTCAAGACTAAAGGACTATATTAAGAAACTACAATCCTCAAGCAAAGAATTGTGTGGGTCCCATTACAAGCAGCACAGTAAATTCAGCCTTTAGAGATGAAACCCAAAAGGAACCCATTCACTAACACTAAAAATAATGAACCACAAAAGGGAGAAAATGAGAGAAGGTCATATGATAGGTTTTCTTACCTACTATCGGGATCTTCCAGTTCCTGTTTCACGCTTTCAGGGAGGTTTGCTAATCTATAAGGAAAACACTTCTGAATAATCAACCTTTATACTGAATGAAATCAATATGCATAACATACGTAGTATATCTTTATTGCATAGAACTACAGTCAAGAATATATTTTCTTTTCTTAATTACCTATGTGAAAGAAGAAGTAGATTTTGACGCAATAGAGTATACTCAGGAACCTACAAACAATATCAAAAGCAATGAGGAAGCTTAGCACATATAATAACTAATAAGCTGATATCTTAGTGATAATATATCTTCAATGATCAAGCAGTCTGCCAAATTAGCATTGCAACTTTCAATGTAAAGTACTTGATTAGTAAAAGTAAGAAGCAAAATGATTTACTTTTAAAGTATAAAATAAAAGATTAACTGGTCTATCATGTGACAGTTATTGCTTACGTCTGAAACTGATAGAATACCAAGCCCGTCCTGCCCAAATCCTTCCTCAATTTTAGCGGATAAGTCTGAACATTTGTCCTGATTCAATCAATTTATGAGGAATTCAATAATAAGCACACCTTCAAAAGTTCACAATCTAATAGCATAACGTATATCCACAAAAATACATGCTCTGACGAATTCAAACTCCTAAATGTAAGGTGTTAGAGACTGTATAACCAAGCCCTATCCGAAATTTTTGGTACGTTTTTGACAAACAAGTTTTCCGTACAGTTTGGGCCGTACGGATTCCGTACAGTTTGGCCCGTATGGATTATTTTTCTTTTCTTGGGCCGCGCGTCCTAGTTGCCTCGGGATTAGGTTTTACTCTCTCTAAATACAAGCTCTCTCTCTTGTAATTGGGTTATCCGAAAATATTAATAACATTCCTTGCTTGGTAGCACCCTAGACGTAGTCATTCGTGGCGAACTGGGTCACCAAATCTAGGGTATTCTTCGTTATTGTTCTTCGTGTGCGTGAGTTTAATTCCTAACACTAAACTCCACAATATTCAAAACCCACGCTTATTTATGACAAAAAGAAAGAAATTTCTTCATTGAAAACAATCAAGAACTGCTAGTTTTCTAGTAAGCCGACATCTTGCAGAAAAAAACTCACCTTGAGCTCGTTATAGGATATGGTAACCGCAGGAACCGTGGGCGACGGAGCTTGAGAGGAGCCCATGGAAATTGCCGCGAAAACTCGGTGAATTCCCCTGGACAGTTGCGGCGGGAAAAAGTGAGAGAACTGCGCGGGAAAATTAGTATGCGGGAATTTGGCGAGAAACGGCGGCGGAGTAGAGATCTTAAGAGAACAGTCCATTTCTTCAGGTGTACTGTTTTCGAATCTTTCTTCGGGCGTTTTTACACGATTTTTCGAATCAATTTGCGGCAAGCTGTACACGTGGAAAGAAACGGGCACGGTGCGGTAAACACAAAATCCGATACCTAAATTTTTTGTCATAAAGGGCGCTATTTGAAATTGACCTTAAGTCTTTTTAGAGTTTTTTTCAAATTAATTAAGTATATACGAAAATAGGGTCGGGTTAAAAGTATTTACGGATATACTGCTGGGCTTAACCCTGGTCGGGGAAAGTCGCCAACGGTTTGGCGACTTACCCATAAATTAAAAAACCGGGTTAAACTAAAAAAAAAAAAAGAGGGGCAAAATTGTCTTTTGAAAGACGTTGAATTTTACGACTATCGTGTCCGCAGGTCGCCCGCGCAGGGGGGGTGCGAATTTTCGATTCTGAACTGAAAGCCGGAATTCTTGTGTGCGCGAGAGCTCCCCTATTCTCCTTCACCTTTTAATTCTAAGAGAGGAGTGGTTCATATTTATAGGCTTCAAACTTCTCAAGGAGTTTAGGTGTGGGAAAGTTAAAGAAGCTCACTTTCCACCTTTGCTTAAAAGTGTACACTTTTCCATCTTTCTTTTTCAAGAGCAAATTTGAGCCACTTCAAACTTCAAAGTCCAAAACTCCAACACCAAAGGTCAACACTACAATCAAAGCTTCCAAGAGTCAACATTGAGATTTAAAAAAAAATCAAGGTAGATGGTACCTTGATTTTGGACCTTGAAATGTAGCTTGGTTGTTTCCTATCAAGGTCCAAGATAGGCATGGCAATGGGTCGGGGCGGGGGGCGGGTATTGCAAGACCCGGACCCGCCCCATAACTTGGCGGGGCGGGTCCGCCCCGCCCCGTGACCTGCACGGGTCCAAACTTGTTGACCCATGACCCGCCCCATGCGGGGCGGGGCGGGTCCGCCCCGTCGCAACCTAGCTAATTAGCTAGTTTGTATTTTTATTTGTGGGAAGTTGTTACCAATTGAATCTACATAATGTTTATCTCTAAATAATAATTAAAAATCAATATTTTAAATCAAATTCATGATACGCTAAAAAATTCAAAAATTAAGGAAAAATTACTCAAACTTGAATAGTTAATCTAATTAGTTATATTAATAATTGAATATATGTATTAAAATTCTATATATAAAGAAGACATTGATAATCCGTCGTGCATCTCATTCTAAGTATATTCATATATTATAAGATCAAAGAATTTATGATTTATTGTATACACATATGTATGTTGAAGTATATTTGTAGTATAAGTTAAGAAAAAGTATGTATACTTATATATTGAGCGGATCGGGTCGGGGCGGGTCGGGGCGACACGGGTCAATTCTAATACCCGGACCCGCCCCATTGTATAGGCGGGGCATGGCGGACCCGCCCCATTTGCATTTGGGGCGGGGCGGACCCGCCCCAAATGTCTCGGGCCAGGACGGGTCATTGCGGGTCGGTTTTTTTTTACATCCCTAGTCCAAGATAGTATTGTTACATTACGATCATGGAACGCAAACCAGAGGAGTATAAATAGATTAAGGAACCACAACTACAATCTTATTCATTCCATCATAGAAACACCTCATACGAATTGTGATGTAAAAGTCTATAACCCTTGATTGAGAATGTCACCAAGGCAGCTGACTTCGTTAACAACTTTAATAGAGATCACTAGCTTAAAGCTTGATACTCCTCATTGCACATTTTGTGATTTAGGTGGAGATCAGCCCCTAAGTACATAAAACGGGCAGGGCATATATGCAGCACAGAATAAACAACTTACCATCAGGGCTAAGAGGGCGGGCAACTTGTAAGAAAGTGCATGGAAATACGAAGTATAAAAGCAGCAACCGTGAAATTTTAACACAAAACTGCCCCATTTTGGTGCTGATCAAACATAAGAAGGTTTCTGCAAATCATTTGAGATGCAACGCTGAACTACTATCTTGATGGTACCTTGATTTTGGACCTTGAAATGTAGCTTGGTTGTTTCCTATTAAATTCCAAAAATCAACATGAAAGGAAGTAGATGATAGGAAACAATACTATCTTGGACCTTGAAATGTAGCTGAGAGTTTGAGAAAAATAGTCTTAACCTTGATTTTTTTTTTAAATCTCAATGTTGACTCTTGGAAGCTTTGATTGTAGTGTTAACCTTTGGTGTTGGAGTTTTGGACTTTGAAGTTTGAAGTGGCTCAAATTTGCTCTTGAAAGAGAAAGATGGAAAAGTGTACACTTTTAAGCAAAGGTGGAAAGTGAGCTTCTTTAACTTTCCCACACCTAAACTCCTTGAGAAGTTTGAAGCCTATAAATATGAACCACTCCTCTCTTAGAATTAAAAGGTGAAGGAGAATAGGGGAGCTCTCGCGCACACAAGAATTCCGGCTTTCAGTTTAGAATCGAAAATTCGCACCCCCCTGCGCGGGCGACCTGCGGACACGATAGTCGTAAAATTCAACGGGTTTCAAAAGACAATTTTGCCCCTCTTTTTTTTTTTTAGTTTAACCCGGTTTTTTAATTTATGGGTAAGTCGCCAAACCGTTGGGCGACTTATAAGTCGCCATCCGGTTGGGCGACTTATAAGTCGCCATCCGGTTACGCGACTTATAAGTCGCCAAACGGTTTGGCGACTTTCCCCGACCAGGGTTAAGCCCAGCAGTATATCCGTAAATACTTTTAACCCGACCCTATTTTCGTAAATACTTAATTAATTAGCATTAATACGGAAAAAAACTCGTCTTTTTAAGTCAACGAGAATACCTCAAATACGAGTATAAGTTGTGCATTTTCTAAAAATAAGACCAAAAAACATAAGACCAAGGAATTTAAAGTTTCTTAAATAAGATTTTTATTTGTGATTCGACAGACTATCCTTATAGGGTTTCTTCAAAAAAAAAAGTATCCTTATAGGGTTAGAGCTGCTCAGCCGCTAGCCCAGATTGTCCAGATCGTTGAACATCGCTTTCCGTCAAACCATCAGTCATCGGCAATTGTCGTTGTCAGGTTTTTTCTAGGAGTCATCCGCCTAGTTACCGCTGTTGTCGTCGCCAGAGTCCGCATATAACTAAAACACAACTTTCTTTTAGCAGGTGTTGCTTCGCACACCCCCAAAATTGCTTTATGGAACCATGGACGGACAAATTTGGTCTTCTGATCTTAATTATCAATTAAAATTAACAATAATTAAAACGGTAATTAGAATTGCTATGCGCACCTCCTCACTTCACACTCGGCTTCATGCGGACAAATCCAATATCTTGCCCATATCAATTTCACATTTAATATACATCCCATACATTGCTGCCATGTGCAAGCCTGATTCTGGAGGGAGGGCAAAGGGGCACTTGCCCTGGGCCCATGATGGTATGGGGCCCATAATGTATATGTTATACTAGTATTTTATATTATATAATTTAATAATACATTCATATATTGCTCCGTAATAATCTGTATAAGAGGAATCTGTTGGCTTTCCTTAACATTAACATATACGGAGTAATTGGTTTGACCGACAGTGAAGACAAATCGTTGGGCACCCGCATCTCTTCATCTTCACGCCTTTACTTAAATCTTACTGGTTTTGCATTGGGAATTCCTTAATATTAATATACGGAGTATTTGGTCGGACCTTTGTTCAAAGCAGTTATCATCTTCTAATTCATTTCTCAATTTCTCTTCGATCACAATTGTAGACTAGTGAGGCCTGTGGAATTGTGGATTTGTGGGGGTGATATACCTTATCTCTTAAAATTCATCATTTGTTTTAGAATATATGCCCATATATTTAAAATATACGTAGTAGTTGCCGTACAATTGATTTCTGGGTTTTAATTTTGACTTTTCATGAATTGCTAATTGTGTAGTGTGATTGTTGATTTGTTAATTCGGTAGTTCCTATCAATATAATAATAGTGTCAATACTTTGATTTTTTGTGAGGAACTTTGAGTCTTTGATTACAATTTGTCAATAATCAGTCCAATCAAATTCATGTCTAATGTTTCTAAATATTTTAAACATGGATTTTCTGGCAGCATAAGACATAAGTGCTTAGCTTCAAAATAAGTTGAGTTTTTTTTCTTGAGATTCCTTATTTCATTATCAACTATCATTTCCCAATACTTTTCTCACAATAATGTTGAAAATGTAGATTTAGACATTTTTTTCTTGAGTGCAACGAAAATTCTTGAGTTTGTCAAAGATGTATATTGTTGTCCAAATGATCCTATTGCTTATCAAACTTTATCGACGATACGTCGGCACGATGAGTGTAGCATCGGTGGGAAGAGCTTTTCAAAGTTAGACATGTTTGAAATCTTTAATGTCTCAAGAAAGATTGAATAACTGAGCGATTTATTTATTGAGATGGAGATGATGAATAAGATTGACCTTGACTCCATCATACATGTTTTTTAATCTAAGAATGCTCAAAGAAATTGTTTTTTGTATTTTTTTGTATGAACTATGATGAAGTACTTTTTATATGTATTGAACTTTGCTTTTAAATTTGTCACGCCCCGGGCCTCCCCGGACACGTCAACAACCCGCCGTACAATACGAATAGTCAACCGCAGTCCAACACATTCATATTATACAAGGCGTCTAGAATATCATTCACACGCAAGCCATCCATAAACAACATAATAAGCAATCGAATACGTAGCGGAAAACATAGTTTGAAAACAAATGCCACACGTGGCTAACATGAGCACGCAGGCTCTATAGTAAAATATTCATGAGCATGTTTATTAATGTTTAAAAACCGAATGGAGGAAGCACGAACCAAGTCTTCCCTCCTAGATGATCTCTCGAGCAACGAGCACAGGAAGCAAGCTCTAGCCTCAACCTGAAAAATGGTGGTGGGACGCCCCCGAAGGGGTCAGCACTCTATAGGACTATAAAGTGCTGGTGTGGATGGCATCTAATAGATATACAACAAGTATTTCAAACACAAGACCCTCAAATAGGGTGATAGTATAAACTAGGCCGTAACCCCAAGTTACCCCTTTTTAAAAATATACTTACTTTATATATAAAGTCAAGTAGTCGGCCCGTAGGCCCAAGGTTTGTTTATCAACATAGCCCA